GCCCTCCAGGACGCCGGTGTTGAATCAGATGTTAGACTGTCAGCCCTGTGTTTAGTTACAGTGACCCAAACCTGGCTTTAAATACACACACACACACACACACACATCCTCACACGCTCACATATATTATTCAGTTTCTGCTCTCAGCTGGCTCATTCTGACTCCTAATAAAAACACACGGCTGCAACCAGCAGAGCGGGGAATATCACTCGCAGTATTGTGTTCATCTGATTTGGACGTTTTAGATACTCTTTAGTGTGTGAGGAAGAATGTATATTCCTCTCTAAACTAAAACTAAGGAGAACAATTCTCTCATCTGCTATTTTATTTCATATATCACATTTTAAAAGCTCCAGGGGAGGAAATTAATTCCAGTCAACAGCAGGATGTCGGATTTATTTGTCTGCTCTGCCAGTCGCTCTGGCAGATAACCATCAGCTTCTCTCCCATTCAAAAAAATAAATATTGCCATTTGTCTAATCAGTGTATGAAAGTGGTTGTTCAATCTTGCAGTTCACAGACAGTGCAGCTGGTGGACCATAGTTTTGTGCTTCAGATGACTGTTTATACAGACGCAGTAGTTATGCTTTCTGCTCTTAGTGATCGGAAAGAAGTGAAGAAGGAAGCATGTATTCTGTTGTTTATCTTGTCAGAAATCAACCAGGTTAGTGCTCTAATACTGGTTGACCACAAAACATTGCACACAGGTGCGTTGCGATACTTGGAAGAGATATCTGACTTGTTGTCTGGCTTGTTCTCCCTCTCACAGTATCTGTCCCTGAGCTCACTTTTTTCCTTTTGGCTTTTTAGGAGGTTGACTAAAACGTTTTCCGGGAGGCTTCCCTGATTGTTATGTTGTTCATTCTGAAACATGAATTTCCTTCTTTTTAGATATTTCTTCTTTTTTTGGTTTTACAACCTAGCAGTTCAGATAATTCCTTCTCTTTGTACTTGTTTAAAACTGTCTGAGGTTTATGTTATATGTCCTCATTACACGGTGGACCAGCTGTGTCTATCGGTGTCCCTGTCTCTAAGCCTACAGTGAGTTTAGTAATGTGCACTTTAATAACTGTGTGACCCTGGGCAGTCTGCAACACACAGATTTCTTAAATGTCCTGCAATTGAGAAACCCAGTTTTGCTAAGTCAGGTAAAGGGATCAAGAGAAATCCAGTTAATGCAGCTAGATTTCTGATGGGGAAAATTAAACCATAATAGTTAATTAATAATCAATGCAAAGCTGCAGAGACGTGTGAAGAGGAAAGCAACATGTTAGGAATCCAAAATCTAAGACCTATGAAGAACGAAATATTAAAAAGCCTTTATTATAGCGGCTAAATAATTAAAAGAGCCAACATGTTTCCACCGCTGTAGGTCTTCATCAGGGCATTTAACAAACAACCAAAATGGGTAGAATTAACAACCAGTGGGAGCCAATCACATGACCCGGAAAATGACATAACAAGTGAAACCAATTGAAACCAATGAAAAATATTAAAGACCATGAGCTGAGAAAAAATGTTAAGTCTATATCCTCATTGAGACCAAGATACTTTAATGCATCCAGTCAACGGATTCAAAAAGATTCCTTCTGGTTATGTGCATCCTGTTTTCTCCCCTGACCGAAGGCTTAATGTGTTGAATGTGTGAGTACACAATAAGAGATCTTTAGCATTGTGACACTCATGCTTCTAGTCCGGCCTGTTTATAAAAAGCTCCTCTCATGGAGAAACCCTGCGCTGTCTCACTTCAGAGCCTGTTCTCCAACAAGATGCTGCAGCAGTTTTCATTTTCAAAATCACCTTTTAACAAACTTAAATTATGCCAATATAGTTTCTAAGATAAAGTGGCAGTGGGGGAAGAAGTGAACTGAATGTACAGTAAATGATCTGCATACAAATGTGCTCCCAGTAACCTGGTTTCCTGTGTGCCTGTAAACAGAGCCAGGGATTTATTCAAAACTCTAAAAAACAAGAACTTGTCCATAAAAAGATGAAACTTTTCCGTAACAAGTTTCCTGATGTTTTGTAGGAGGAGTGGGGTGACGCTACATTGTTTTTTGAAAAATAAAAGAAAAGAAGAAGCTGAAGTTCTTTGAAAGGACTGAAAGAATCCCTGAACACATACTAGATTTACGTATAGTGCTGACATAGCCCCTAAAGTTCCAACGTGCCCGTAAAATGTACTCTTGCAGTGTGTGTGTGCAGAACGCAGCGTTTCCTTTGAGGAAGGACGGGGTAAGCCTCCTGGAGCTTTTGTAGAAAACACTGACTTTCTCCTCAGCATGACAACTAAGGGTTTGCATACTGTTGGGTTCTGTCAGAAAGAGCCACGAGCGTCACAGCAACAGCCACACTGATGGATTGACACGTATACACAAAGTCATTGTTGAACTCAGACGCGTCATGCTTTGTTTTACACAATAATGAGTGGGACAGAACTTGATAAACGTCTATGTAAAGGCTGAAAACACACAGTAGACACATAGTATTATTGTTGTTATTTTCATTGTGGTGAAAACCGGAGCAATTTTGTAGTGAATATTAAAAACTGGGACATTGTGATGTTTTACAGTATTGCTGGCAACCATAAAACTGGGTTTAGGAAAAAAAATACAGAAAACAAGTCACAAATATCACTGGCGTAACTTCAAAATAACTCAACAACACAAACACTGATCTCCTGGTTTAAAGTCCTGTGTTACACCTGACCCGCCCTGTGTCTTTTTTTTCCAGTCATGTGACTATAGAGAGACAAAATGTCTACTTTACTTTAAGTTTTGCACGGGACACGTACAGCGGCCTCCTGGTTGAAAGTGCTGTGTTTGTTTGACCCTTCCATCCACCTTCTCAGCCCTGTGTGAATTTTCTCGGGCTTTATAGCCCGCAGTTGCTCTGACCGTCTAATAATGACGCCGATGGGTTTGGTGTAAAGCCCTGTGCATCGCATACAGATGCGGGCACTGGCCAAACGTCGGTATTTGACATTTTAGGAGTGAGACTGGGTTGCATTATACTAGGTCATTACACTCCAAGAGCATTTTCTAAGAGTACCTAATAATATCAGGGATTGGTTTATATCGTAGTTAGTTGAAAGCCTGATATGTCATATACGGACTCTAAAGGGTGGCAACCTCCTGTTCTGCCGAGTGAAGCCAGTGTAGAACCTGCATTCTCTCTGCTGGCCAGCAGGGGGCGACTCCTCTGGTTGTATAGAAGTCTATGAGAAAATGACTCCACTTCTCTCTTGGTTTATTACATCAGTAAACATTGTAAACATGAGTTTATGGTCTCAATCTCTAGTTTCAAGTCTTCTTCAATACAGCATGATGTTCATTTAGTACATTATGGTCCATTTAGAGTCAAACAGACCATAAAGCAGAGAATGCTTTAGGGCGGGGCTACTCTGATTGACAGGTCGCTGCCGCTACCAGAGCTGTATACGCGTCTCTACGTCACTTCTTCGCAAAAAGAAACAAGATGGCGACGGCCGTAATCCAAGATGGCTATGGCGAAATCATCGAACTCGAGGCTTCATAACATCAGTCCACTTACCAATATACCGTATATACAGTCTGTGGTCGGTATCAGCGTGACTAAACATTGGTGTTTGACTGCCTGGGAATGAGAGTGGGCTGGGCACTGTGGCCTGCAGCACACATTCGATTCCTCTCTCAACACTGCAGAAAGAATTATGGGAAAACTATAGTGGCCAACATGTTCCAGCATGTACAATAAAGGCCTGTCAGAGAATGTACAGTATAGAGCCGTCACCAGGAGTAATGAGGGCCTCGCCTCCTAAATGGATGAATGACAACAAAAAGAAAGGCTAAAATCTTATCTCCTCTTCCTCGTTTATCATTTTTACCGCCTCGCTCCAGCACGATTCAAACACCCACCCTTTGCAAACGTTTTTCTTTGTCACTTTCTTTGATGATATTACCATGAATCAGTTATGTAGTTAGTAGCAGTTAAATCTGCTTTATGCTGGACATTGTCTTTTATTCCCATGTCTCATAACAGCAGCATCATATTGGTTATTAATACAATAATACAATACAGTAATGATTGCCTCGTTATGGGCCAAAGGCTGCGTAGCCACCGGCCTTAGCTTTGATCCTCCTTTGTGCTAATAGCTTTTTAATGAGCCATAAGTCACTTCCACATCCAGCTGCTGCAGAGCATGTTGTGCATCTCAGTCAGAAGAAAAAGGGCACGTAGAAACTAGAATACATTGTCATCATTTTTGACATGAATTACATTGTTGGTTGGGTGATTGTACAGATGAGCACTCGCAGGCAGTACATTTGAAGGATACTGTAAGTGTGATTGGGCCAATATACAGTATGTTTATAAATGATCTCTGCTACACTCACATCTATATACCTTCACTTCAAATATTTATTTATGATACTGAGCATTTCCTGAGTTTATTTCCATTTTAAACCTAAATTTACATGCTTACAGATTTTTTTAATGAATATATATACAGTACGTATATATATATGTACCCAGACTTTAAACAAATCTCAAATCTTTAAAAGTGAGGATTTGTTGCTTTTTTTGTCTTATATTGTAATTTGAATATCTTTGGGTTTTGAACTTTTGGTTGGACAAAACAAGCAATTTTGAAATATCACTTTGTTTTTTCCCCACTTAATTCTTACCTTTGATGGACTAAACGATAAGGTGATGAATTGTATATATAATTGCTTTCATCATTACGTGCACCCTTGTATAGCATGCATTTGGAAAGTGAAAAATATTAAAGTACAGTTAAAGCAGTGAAACATGCAAAGCAAATTGTGATGGCACTTAAAATATCTTCTGCATTGAGTGCATGTGCATACTGTACTGGAGCAGAGTAGCATATGTTTGGCTGTCGGAGTGTGTGAAAAGTGGAAATGTGTGAGAAAGAGAGTGGGTGAGGATGAGAGAGAGAGAGAGAGGGAGAGAGAGGCAGCGAGAGAGAAGAGAGAGCGAGCGCACAAGACGTGGTGCGTCTGTCGGCTGTGCAACAAGCTGCGATCAGAGGAGCTAATCGGAGGAGGAGGGCAGAAGGAAAAGCCTGGAAGGAACAGAGATCAATCAGGAGACGTGAGGATGTGAAATAGAGAGAGAGGCAAGAAGAAGAAAGAGAGAAGGAGGGAGAAAGGGAGGAGGAGACTGTGCGGTGTGTAAAGGCTGAGAGGGGAAGTGAAATAGACCGTTGGGAAGAGACTCTGTGAGCGCTGTGATCAAGACAGAGAGGAGTACAGGAAATACAGGAAAGTGATACAGAGTGCTTTGATTAACACGCGCTTCATGATAAAGACAACGGAGAACCGATATTCTTTCTTTTTTTTATTCACCTTTTGATCCATTAATATCTTCTGAGTTGTCAGTTGCAGCTGAGTGAATCCCACTTCAAGGGGGGTTAATCAGATTCCCCAAACTCGTTACTTCAAAGCTTTTTCTTTGTGTCTTGCGTGTCTTTAAAAATGACGTAAAGAGGCGCAATCAATCTGCGAGTGTTCTTTGGGGGATTGCAGTCGCTCCGTTGGAGGACGCTTGGATTGTGCTGTCAAACTTGGCTCCGGGTTTCTTGTTCTAACACTTTCCTCCGTGAGGTAGGTTTTTTCTATTTTCACTCGAGGAGGAAATCAGAAAGTGCATGGCAGAGATATTACTGAAACATGAAGACGTTTGAGGAATCTCTAGGGGTTGGAGTTGATAAAGATGTAATACCAATAATGTCACATATAATAAATCAGTGGGTTTTTCTTGAGCTCTAACGTGCTCATTAGCCCTGTGGGATGTGAGAAGACCCCCTGATGAACCTCTTATCTTTATGCCGTAAGATCTGGATGTGATTTGTGTAATTAGTGTTGGAGTAAGTGCTGAAAAAAGAAACCCATTTCCTCTCTTTTCTCACATTGCACCGTCATGTCAGGAAATCTATCTTTAACCAAAGCGATGAAACAAAATCCTTGTGCACTTTATTTTCCTCTCCCTCTTCTCTTCCATCCATCGTTTTATTCAATGTGCCGAGGGAGTTTTTTTTTTGTGCAAACTATACAGCGTCTCTGCCTCTTGTTCCCTACACCTGCCAATCGGGCTTGGCATTGAGCTAGCAGACAAAGTATTGTATCTCCTCCAGCTCTGTGCAGCCTCTCCAGAACAGCTCACTGTGTGGGTACACTAGTCGTGATCCTCACTCGTGTTTTGTGTGAGGGTGTCGAGCTCCTGCAGCTCCTGCAGCTCCACAACAGCAATAATTGATTAATTAGCATCATTGTTTCATACCTTACTTCTCAACCTGCAGATCGGGACCTTCTGTAGGTTGTGAACAATTATATTTTCAAATTTAGAAGTGTTTAACCACAATATTGTATCTTTGTGGTAAATGCATTTTTCCTGTGAGATGGTCAGCAGCCTGCAGGGCGTCGTTCAGTCGTTAAAAGTAAGCAAAATAATCTGGAAAGGTGAGATTGGATTAATGACTTGGCTGCAAAGTTCATCTTCTTAATGTTTGTGTCAACTCGTTCTCACTCCCAACACGTCACATATGGCAGCCCCTCAGTGCCCCTCGGCGTCTGACACCACGGGCTCTTATTATTAGATGCTAATAGCAACTGTCATAGTATAAAGAGATATGCGGATGGGAGTATTGGTAGATGCGGTGTGTATAAACAAATAGCCACTCACACAACAGGCCCTGCAACAGAATCCACACAGCACACTCGCCTCTCTCTCTCTCTCTCTCTCTCTCTAACCGCACACACATGCACATGCCGACACACACACATTGACTCGGCTTCTTCTCATCATTGCCGTCCTGGTATCCAAAGAAGAGGAGGGACAATGTCCTGCTGTAATCAAGGTCCTTATGAAAGGCACAGGATCATATTTGTCCAAAGATGGTCCAATTAGACGCGCAGGCAAGCTGGCTTCACACCACCTGTTGCTGCTCTAGCTGGCTGTGTCATTTACGGCAGACAATTCTTTCCAGCACTCACTAGTGTGTGTGTGTGTGTGTGTGTGTGTGTGTGAATACATGTTTTGCAGGTTTGATTAATGAAAACTGCTGGGCAACAACACTGCATTTGTGTTTGATTGAGTGTGTGATGGTGGGTAGGAGGGCCGACTTTGCTAGTTTTTGTGTCAATCTGTGTATTGCCTGACTGTTTTTTTCAGTGATTACACTTGGATTCTTTGACAGCCTTCAGTTTGATTTATTTTGGAAAGTAAAGGCTCAGTGAGGCAGAGACATGCAGGCACGGTGATTCAACAGCTGGTCGGTCAGAACAGACAAACAAAGCAAAAAAGGGGCAAGGCAGGAAAAGCAGAAAGTCAAAACAAGTAGGCATGAACAGATAAGAAGAGGGCATGATGGTAAGACAGCAAGCGCTGTAGACAATCTGGCAAAGAAATAAGGTGTACTGTATATGAAGGGGAGCTGAATAGGGGATTGGCAACAGATGCACAGGTGGGTGTGGCAGTCAGCTGATGACTGAAAGTGAGAAACATCGGTAAGGAATAGCAGGCCCTGAGATGACAAGAGAGAGGCAGTGACTGCATAATCTATTCCTGGTGACAAGATGCTGTAGCTGGTCGTAGCTATGACTCTGCCAGCCTTAGTCACAAGTTAATGCAAAGGAAGAAGCTTAATGCTCAACATGCACGATGGATGTTCCTGCTCTGCTACTGAGAGAAGACTGGCATTATTCAGATGAATGCATGTTGCTTTTATTATTATTTTCAGAGGTTTTTGTGTGGTTGAAATTAAGTTAATTTGACGTGGCTGCATTGTTTGTAACTATTATAAATAGCCACATTTGAAGACAGGGCAAACATCCTGTTGTCATAACCTGCTCCTGGCTTTCTTCGCCCACGGCCTCGCCAACTTTCTTCAAGATGCCTCCATGCGATAAATCGTACAAATGAGGATAATGGTGCACACTTTAGGACAGTCTCTTCTTAAAGGCATCCATTGTGTCACACTCAGTTGTACACACAAGTCACTATGTTAAGTGTTGGATTGTCAGTTTCTGGGATGTTGCCGGATGCAGCCTCCCCTAAAGGTGTGTCAAAAGTGTGACAAAAAAAAGGGGTTTTATACATTGACTTTGCAGCAGCTGAAGCTCCAGGCAGCACAAACCATCAATTCATCACAGCCAGCTGATAGGAAGAAGCTTTCTGTTCGCAACAGAGGTTTCCTCTTGAATTGGCAGGGGACAACAATTGTTTGGCATCTCTTGAAATGGCTGAGAGAAAGCTAAATCAATTAGACTCAGGAGGCTTTTTGTCATTCGCATCGGGTTACCGGTGGCGGGCGGCCAGCATCGGTTCATGGAGCAGACTCTCTCCTGGAAACAGGGAGGAAAGGATTGAGCAGGACCTGCTCATTCGATTTGCTCAGGAAAGTGATTACACCTTCCGCTTCCCAACAACCCTCCCGCCCGCCCGCCCTGTCTGCATGTCAGCTGCTGTATAACGGTGACACGCCCCACCAGGGCGTTCCTCCTGCTTTTACAGCTTTACTTTAGAGCCCATCAGAGCCTTCAAGTGCAATCACTTTACCTTGTATAGCAATCTATTTATGCTGCAAACTGAATTTCCTTCCTTGCCACCAGCGGTGGTGGTCCGTGTTTGTGCGTGAGCATGTGATATAATGGAAAGGAGGGTCTGCTCATGATATACTGATTGTGTGTGTGTGTGTGTGTGTGTGTGTGTGTGTGTGTGTGTGTGTGTGTGTGTGAACACATGCGTGAAGGCTTCAATGTGTGTTTGAAAAAATTACTGATGGAATTGGACGGAAGTGGAGTGGTGATGATAAATCAATTAGAGTGCGCAGGAGATTTAGGCTAATGAATGCGACAGCAGGGCCAGTATCCCACTCAGCTGTGACTCAGTCCTTTGGGTGGGTGTGTACGAGTGCACACATGTGTGTTCTTACTGGATCCCACTCAGTGGGAGTAATGGTGCATTTTGCCTGCTCTCTGGGTGTTTTGATTAAGATAATGGATAAAACACTGCAATCCTCTTTGGTTTTCAACATGAGGTGATGCACAACCTCCTTGAGACGAGCGACAGCATTGGCAGCTTGTTAAAATGCCTTAAAATACTTTAGTCAAGAACACCGAGACCAAGTCATGACCAAGACCAGAGTGCATTGAAACCGAGACTGGACCAAGACTTTGAGGGGTTGACACCAAGTCAAGACCAAGACCAGGCAGGGCGAGTCACTGCATGAGACGGGATAAATTGCTGGTCTCATCCAGCATTCGTAGCTATACCTACAAAAAGGGATGCGCCGGAATTCGTAGACATCTCACAAATTAATTTCTTTTGTTATCCAGGTAATCTCGAATGAGGAGGTAAAGAGAACCACAAAAAGGGAGTGGAAGGGAGGGGAGGTTTTTGGGTCCAGCAAACACCAATCAGCCAGGAGACCGCTGTTGGTTCTCAACGTTGATTTATTTGTAACCTAACGTGTTTACTTCAGTAACAGCACTTCCTTTGATACCACAATCATTTCCTAAACCTAACTGAGTAGTTTTGTTGTAACCCTAACTAAGTATTCCATGATCCTTTCCTAAACAAGTAGGTTTAACTGAGTTGTTTCCAGTGAAGACGGAAGTTTATTTTGAAAAGACTGTATACATGTAACGGCCGTAAATTGACACGAGTTGCTGTAAAATGCACACAAATGAGGAGAATCTTTTCTTAATATATCATACGAACCGTGAGGATATGAGGATATGTTGCACAACAAACATTTTGGGCTATAACTCAAGAATTTATACGCTAACTATGACATTTCACACAAGCAGTATAAAAATGATGAAGTGAGGACATTTTGGAGGGACAAGGATGTAAATTGCAACTTGTCTGGTTGGCGGAGGAATGCAACTGCGAGGCGGTTATTCTTGTTTTCGTTGCTAGAAGTCAGCCATAGTGTGGGTTGTGAATTAACGACTTTGGAGAAATGTGGACTCTTCTACCGCAGGGGTCGATAAACATGGCATGAAAGAATGTAAGCTTTTCCTGCTTTCACCTCCCTCAGAAAGAAAGAATTCTACATCAAATCAGGAACAATTCCACTTGCAAAACACGTCGTCTTATTTTGCTCTATTACTCTTTCCACTTATTTATGCTCTAAAATGACCCCTGTCATTGCTGTCTATTTCGTCGCTCTTTCCACCAGCTGTTACCACACTCTTCTTCTTGCCTCTGTCTCTTTCTAACTGTCTCTCGTCTCAGCCAGCTTGCCACTATTCTTCCAGCTGTCACTCTTTCCTTCAGGATTCAAGCCCCCTGCTAATAGTGGTATTTATTTTCTGTCAGGCGCTCTTTGTCCCAAGCAGAACAGCACTCTCATTACACACATTTACTCTCTCAAGATGCTTGTGATCATTCGCTTCTCACACGGAGACGCACACAAATCCTACATTCAGCCATAGTTATGTACTTTCCTGGTTCCATTGTGTATTTTCTTTTGTGGATATGTGGCTCATGGATTCATGTTGTGTTTTATTGAGGAATTTCCAGAACAGCTGGGAGGAAGATTTCAGCTTTCCCAGATATCAACAGTAAAAGCTGCTTTTAATATTTATCTTATCTTTGT